TATATATATATATATATATATATAGAGAGAGAGAGAGAGAGAGAGAGAGAGAGAGAGAGAGAGAGAGAAAGCCACCAGGTCTGGGACAAGAACCACAGTCGATCATGTGGGAGTCTAGTGCTTTAACCACCATGCTACCTGCCAGCCCCCCCCCCTTTTTGGGGGGCCAGGGGCATTTGCACTGCCAGAGACAGAGAAACAGAGAGAGGAAGAGGAAAAAGCACCTCCTATGGGGAATGGTCACAGCACAATCTCTACTCCATTTCTCCCTCCTTTTGGGATTTTGAGCAAACACATACACATGCCTGGCGTGTGTCTTAAGCCCTCAGTTCAGTACTCAAACCACAGATCATCCATGTGGGATCCCTTCACCACTAGTTCATGGAACCAGCCTCCCATTATTTACTTTTTTAATTAAAAAAAATTTTAAAGGTTTTTGTCATAGGGCACATGAGTTCACCAGAGAGAAACAATGAGAGGAAAAGTGAGAAATCACCCCCCATTGGGGATGGCCACACTGTGATCCCTACTCATCCATTATCCTCCTGGGATTTTGGACTTGCACACACACACACCAGTGTGATTTTTAGACAGCCAGGTCTGGAACTTGAATCACAGTTGGTCAGGTGGGAGTCCAATGCCTTAACCACTACTGACTCTTACTTCCCCTTATTTTTAATTGTCCTTCCAAAGGCATGTCTGCTTTGCTTGATTCTGTTAGTATCAAGATCCTCTCTTCTTTTTGGGGCTTCTCACCTTTCAGAGTAGGGATGCTCATTATTCCTCCTCCTAAATCTTTCCTGAATACAAAAGTTATAGGGCTCCATCCAAAGGGAGATTGATCAGTCAGTTTTCTGGGAAGAGAACCAGATAAAGAGCAAGGAGGCAGACTTTAATTGTAAAAGAGTTTAAACATTTAGAGAGGTACATACAATACTTATGCACCACCTACTTTAAGCAAATGTTAATGTTGTGTGTGTGTGTTGGGGGAGGTCATTTTGTTTTGTTTTGCCACAAGGCACGTGTCCTTGCTGGAGAGAAAGAGAAAGAGGGAAGGTGAGAAATTACCCCTGGGGAGGATGGTGACATGGTAATTCCCTCTTCTCCATTCTCCTCTTGGGACTTTAGGCACATGCATACACACCCACCACATGATTCTCAAGCCACTCAGTCTGGGACTCAAAACATAGTGGGCCATGTGGGAGTCCAAAACCATAACCACCATGCTGGCCCCTATGTTTTGTTTTTGAAAATTTGCTATAGGTTGCATTTACTCCCCAGAGAGAGATGGAGGTGGTGAAGGGGTGAGAAAGCACTCCCCAAGGTGGGGTGGCCACAGGCAGAATGCATAGTACATGTATGAATGTACATGTACCCTCCCCATGGGAGGTACTTTTTCCTCTTCCTCTATTTTTTTTCAAAGAGTTTATGGAGGAGCAGCAGGTGGTGCAGTGGTTAAGGTGTGGGACTCCCAAATGGTCGACCACAGTTTGAGTACCAGACCCAGTGGCTTCAAACTCAAGCTGGGCGTGTGTGCATGTATGCCCAAAATTGCAAGAGGAGAATAAATTGCAGTGTGGCCATCCCCCTTGGAGGGTGATTTCTCACTGTCTCTCTGTCTTTCTGGTGAGTGCACACGCCCTGTAGCATAAACACCTCTCAAAAAAAAAAAAAGTTTTGTACCAAAATAAACTTACTTCCATCCCATTTTCCATGGACTTTTTTTTTTTTTGGAGAGGTTTTCGCTACAGGGCGCGTGCGCTCGCCAGACAGACAGAGACATAGAGACAGAAAGCGAGAAATCACCCCCCAGGGGGG